GTACTGCACAGCACAGGGAAATATACACAAGATCTTGTGGTAGCTCACAGAGGAAAAAATGTGACAGTGAATGTATGTATGTTCATGTATAACTGAAAAATTGTGCTCTACACTGGAATTTGACACAACATTGTAAAATGACTATAACTCAATAAAAAAAATGTTAAAAAAGAAAAGAAAAAAAGGTGTACTTACAAACAGAGTGATACTGTTAAACAATATGTGTACTTGAGCCACGTCTGTGTGATTTTTAACTTAAAATAAACCCTAAACAGTGCTGACTTCGGCAGCACACGTGTACTGAAACTGGAACCACACAGAGAAGATAATCACGGCCCCTGCACAAGGATGACACGCAGATTCGTGAAGTGTTCTGTATTTTGGGGGATGGACCTGGAGATCGTCACACTAAGTGAAGTCAGACAGAAAGAGAAAGAAAAATATCATAGGATATCACTTACATGTAGAATCTAAAAAAATGAGACAAATGAACTTATTTACAAAACAGAAACAGACTCACAGACATAGAGAACTTATGGTTACTGAGGGAGGGGGGAAGGAGTGGGAAGGGATGAGTTGGGAGTTCGGGATTTGCAGACACACACCACTGTATGTAAAATAGATAAACCACAAGGTCCTACTGTTTAGCACAGGAAACTATATTCAATACCTTGTAATAACCTTATAATAGCCTGTAATGGCCTTTGATGAAAAAGAATACAAAAAGGAGTATTTATATATGTATAACTAAATCACTATGCTGTACACCGGAAAATAACACAACATTGTAAACCAACTATACATACTTCAACAAAAAAAATTAAATGCAAAATAAAATGTTCCTACATTGAATTATTTATTCAGAAATTATTTATGAAGCCCCCATTATCTATGGGGCTTATTATTACGGGGACGCACTCTTGAGCAGGACAGACCTCGCCCTGCCCTCGGGGAGCTGACATTCTGGGAGAAGAGGCAGCTTAAGACTGGCATGTGGGCTGCTCACGGGGAACAGAATGCAGGTGGCCCGGCCCAGCGCAGGATGGGGGAGCCGCAGGAGGTGGGCTGCAGGGATGGGCAGGGGACAGTCACGTATTTCTGTGCTTAAGAAACAGGCTTCCTGGAAGCAGCTCAATACGCCGGCAGCTACCACTTGGCTGTGGTTTCGCAGCCAATTTTTATCTAACTCGATTTCCTGCAGTTCTCCAATTCTCGGATGAGGGGGACTGTATCTAACAGGCCTGGGGAGACGCCTGGCAAATCTTTGGTGTCCAGTGACTGACGACTATCATTCATTGAGCTGGAGGAGTCTCAGGAAGCAGCAGATGTGGGGCTGGGAGGAAACTGAGCTCTGTCCAGGAAGTGC